ATGTTGAAGAAGTGCGAGAATGGGTGGACGAATGGATTGCTTCGAAACAAACATCGTTTTATCGAGATGGTATCGCCCAGTTGCCAGAAAGATGGCAAAAAGTTGTAGAAAGTGATGGAAAATACTTTCATTGAAATAATTTAAATAAATTTTTTACAATAAATGCTTTTTCTCAGTATTTTTTGGGCGGAAACTAAGTTAAGGTCCTAATATTTATGCTAATACGTTTTTTTATTATATATGTACTCTTTCGCAAGCTTAGTGGATGAAACATCTTTGAAGAAAATCGGTTTTTTTCTTTCGAAGGGAATATAATGAAAACTATAAGAGATAGAAAAAAATATTTTGAATAAAAGTGGAATGGTTTGAAGAGTACTTACAGAAATTATTTGAAAAAATAAAAAAAGATTTTTTATTATTATAATATTAATAAAAAAATTTTTTTATGAAAATTTTGAAAAGTTTTATCGTTACATATTAACCCTTTAAGGCGCATAATTTATGGAACATTCTAATAACTTTATTTAAATGAAATATTGTCAAAAATACTCTAAATAGCATATTTATAAGATCGGGCAACTGCCTGATCTTAAGTGGTCTCTATTGGTACCAGTGATACTTAAAGGGTTAAGCAATGTTCCAATTTATTATTGCGTATAGGAGAAACGGGGTCTGAGATGGCCTCAGAGGTATATTGCTCGTGTATTCTTTTTTTATATACTATTTAACTTGAGAAAAACAATGAATATATAAAATCGCGAAATAGTCCTTTTAAAATATAGATACGTCTTTCCTTGAGTTTTATTAAAATTGAAATACACAGTTAAAAATAGGAAAAACTTAGTAGCGAAACGAAGTTTCGAGTCTCTCGAAATTTTGTATTAATATTCTTCATTGTAAGCGAAGAAAATTAAGTGACATGTTACTAATTACCATGGTAATTAGTAATTAGTATGGTAAGATGAAGTTCCTTACAAATGTATGATAAAAGCAATTTAAAAGCAATTTTCATCCATAAAACGATTAAAATCGAGCATATGAGCAAATGAGGTAAAGTTGGCCTATATTTAACAGCCGGCAAGAGGACTGTGGAGACCTCTCGTGGAGATCCCGAAACTACAAATTAGAATACATATTTTACATGCATTCTACTCTGCGCTCCTAGGCTAACTGAATCCAGTACCAGAACAAGATGATCGCGTTGCTGCATGTATATTAATAATTACAAAACAAAATATACAGTCAACAGGATCGTGGCGGGCATTAATATACAGAAGAAAGCTATCTTTATCATGTTTGTGCAGTCAATCACAACGATTAGTTGTCTGAGAAGTTGTAATTTCGAAATTGTGATGCATCTAACCCCGATCTCTCCTACTTTCGGTATATAAAAACATTTGCGCAATCAATATGCGACGTAAACTTTGCAAAAAAGTCAGTACATGATTGGTAAAATTTTCAATTCAGCACAACACACACACACACACATCGCCTTAATGCGCTTTGAATTCGCGGTCGATGCGCGCAAGTAGATCTATCAATGCGGTACGTTTGGCGTACAACGAATATCTGTTTTAATCGGCAAAATGCAAATGAAGAGGAAGGGAAAGAGAGAAAGAGAAAGAGAGAGAGAATGACAAGCACGCAGTATGCTACATAGTTACCGATTTGTATTTATGGCTGAATGTAGCTGTTTGGGTTTCAACGCCGCGATAACGTTGACGATAATGTTATAGGCACGTATGATCTCCATGCCAACAAATAAAATTTCAGAACGGCACAGTTACATCCACGCGCGCGCAGCGGCATTAAGCATGAAATGTGAGTACAGAGCATCGAATGCACGCTCGCATTGCTTATCGATACGCGCGATAATGTATGCATCCAGGGGAACGGCAGAGGTTGGGTTATAGCGGACGGCGGAAAGCATCGAACAGTGTCAGTTTCTGACACGGTGCACCATGGTTCAGCACCTTTTGGTCATCTGTTACTGGTAGCTACTAGAGCGAGCCGTAGACCCGGCTGTTCCGAGATCGCGCTTCGTCGTCTGGCAATCTGTTGCGAAGTTACATTTCACGTCGCTTTTTACGTGCCATGTTCCTGTCGTCTTGTTTTAAGGAGAATATGTATCATGGCTCTCTCAGATGCGCAATCGCTGAGAAATGCGCTCGACCAATAAGAGCCAAGACAAGTTGATACGTTTATCTCCCGCGGTAGCGGTTAATCAATTGCTTTTTGTTGAGATCTTGTTAGGTTGCCGCAACAGATCTGTCGTGTTTGTGTCAAATAAAATAGAAAACGGAATTATTCAAGTTTAAACGATTTGTCATTTTTACTACTGGAATAGACGATTATTTTTATGTGGAAGTATATGGAAGATATTTATGAAAGTTTGAGTATTTTTTTCTCTTGTATTGTTCAATTTATTGTTCAATTTTTCTACGAGAATTTGATAGAAAACACGACACATCTTTTGTACCAGTCTAATGAAACGTATTAGTCAGAGAAAACGAAATTATTGAATTTCGAAGAACTAATAATTTTTATAAATAGAATGAAAAATTCGATGTTTTTCATACATACAGACATCTAATGATTTGTCATTTTTTTTTCAATAACCAAAATTCCTAATTCCTACGAAAATTTAATAAAAAAATTTAATAGAAAAATGACACACATTTTTTGCACCAGCTTAGTAAAATGTCAGTTAGAGAAAAAGAAATTATTCAATCTCGAAGGATTAATAATTTTTACGAATAAAATGCACAATTCGATACTTTTTAAATATCTAACGCGAACTCTTTATTTTCCTTTTAATATCGAACTTTTTACGAGAATTTAATACAAAAATAACAAATCTTTTGCATCGAGCTAATAAGATTAGTTGGTCAGACAAAAGGAAATTATTTAATCTTGAAAGATTAATAATTTTAAGGAATAAATGCGTGATCTGTTATTTTTTTTTTTTTTTTAGACACAACGCAGGCTTCCTATTTTTCTTTCAATACCCAAAGTTTCTGCGAGAATTTAATAAAAAATGATACATATTTTGCAACAATCTAATAAAATATATCTCAGAAAGACAAAACGAAATTATTCAAAGGATTATTTACTTCGAAGGATTAATGTTTATGGATAACGTGAATAATTTCGGTATTTTTCAAAGGTGAACTTTCCACTTTCCTGTTAATTCCCAAGCTTCCTATGAGAATTCAGCAGAAGAATGATAAATCTGTCATATCACTTTAATAAAATGTGTCAGTCGGAGGGAATGAGATTATTCAATCTCGCATACGCCAAGGATTAATAATTTTTACGAGTAAAATGCACAATTCAATATTTTTTGGACATCTCCGACGCGAAATTTCCCCTCTCCTTTTGATACCCAAACTTCCAGTGAGGATTTAATGGAAAAGTGACAAGTTCCTTGCGCCAGTAAAATTCGTTATTCAAAAACACGTGAAATAATGAGACATAATTTGAGGTACTACGATCGACAGTCGACAGATAAACAATACTCAAACAAAGAGTTCCCGTTCTGTTTTCAGAGCGCCGACCTGGATTGTTTTCGTCGCGAGGAGGATTGCTCGGCCGGAAGTTGCGAATTCGGAAGAGACTCAGAGAGGAGAGGAAGTAGAGTGTTCCGGCGCTCTCGTCGTACTTTTTCCCGGGACGGACGGACAGGAATAACGCGACAGGTACGCGCGGGACTCGCATCTCTCCCCCGTAAAATACGCGAACGTCGATACCAACATTCGCACGGCGCGACGTCGGTCAAACTTCGCGCGCCAACTGTACTTTCGCGAAGTGAGAGCGGATAACCAATTCCCAAAGCCGAATCCAATTCGCAACATCCGCGCTTCGAATGGTTTCTGATTTACTGCCGGAACCTCTTCGATTAGCATGCATTCTGAATATTGATTATAATACGCCCTCCTCCTCTTTCCCATGCCACCTGCCCCCTTTCCCTCCCCTTCGTCCCCGCACTCTCTGCCCCTCTCTTGGCCCCAACATTGGAGCCGCTGCGAACTGGCGCGCGAGAAACTCGAGCTGGACGCGCTGGAAGATGTTACGCGCTTTTCCATGCAGCATTTCCGCGCGCGCGCGCACGTCAGTTAACGAACGGATAAATAATTTTTCTCCGATGGAAAAAAAGCTCCGATATTACATCCGCGATTAAAAAATATCGCGTTGACGTATAAACCGAGCCGCGGTAGGTGGCGGCGGAGGCGGCAGAGCGCTGGCGGTAGCGGCGGTGGTTCTGGCGGATTCAATTCCGGCAGTTTTCAATGTTTCCATACAAATTGACTATTACGGATTTAATAAACATGAAACGTAATAGGAATAAATCGTTTCGATAACCGAACGCGGCGCACGCAACGGTATTAACCGTGTGCGCTGGAAGTAAGTATGATCGCGCGCGTTGCACTCCGCCGGCCGGAATAACGAAAAATATCAGCCGGCCGATTTGCCGTCGTCACGCTGCGCTCTCGTAACGCCGTCATTAAAAACCGCGCGACGACAACGACAATAATGATGATGATGATGACGATGCTGAGCCAGTTATTAACATTTCAACGAGACGCATCATGAGACAATTTACGGCCACGCGCTTTGTCCTCGGGCGAGCGACGAGGACGCAAGCTACTTGAGAAGTCACTCGTCAGAAGAAGCTAGCCGTAAGAAACTGCGGGCGGTTAGTTTTTACGACTTGGGGGGAGGCAAAGAGAAGAAGAGAGGGGGAAGAGAGCTCGATGAACGTAAGAGAGAGAGAGAGAGAGCTCGATGAACGCAAGAGAGAGAGAGAGGGAGAGGGAGAGGGAGAGAGATAATGAATATTTCCGATGAATATTTCAATATTCACAGCGTTAACGTGAGTGCGATCGTAAAAAATGGCCTTCACGGCCGCGTCCCGGGGACAAAGTTCACGCTCGAACTAAAGCGATTACGCCGGCCACGGCGCGGATATCTTTTTGCCATCTTCGAGGAGCTGAAGACGGATATATCCGGATGAGCCGAAAACATCGTGGCGCGGTAGGGTGCTGGAAGGGAGAAAAGGGTTAGGAGGGAGGGAGAGAGAGAAAGAGAAGGGAAGGCTCCAGAGGCGAGCCATTAACTTTCTCTCAAAAGACGCGATCCACGTGCAATGAAACGATGAAACTCGTTATCGGGAACTGCTTCTCCTCCGCTCTCTGCAGGAATCCGAAGGAAAATACTGCCCAACCGAACGGTCATTACTCATCGTTGGCGCGACGATCAAATATCGATTAAGCGGATCCCATTTTACTCGAGATCTGCTCGCGCCACGTAATTGGCTATGCGTGAACTTGATCTAACGATGCGTAAAATGGGGTGTAACGAGTATTAAACTCGCTTGCATTCCGCTCGCTCGCTCGCGCTCACGTTCGTGTATCCTGTTACTATTTTAACGTCTGCTAATTACTAGCGAATTTCTCTAGCGCACGACCTTCGTATTCCACGCCGGGGCGACTCCGTCGCAGCCTCCCCCTTCTACCCTCCCTCCCTCCGCTCGGATAATTTGCCTAAGCCTTGATGTGTAGCGTCAGCATCCTACGCTCTCTAAGCATGCGTGCTGCACTTTTTCGTTTCTTTCCTTTCGATAGGATCTGCAATGTGCACAATATCTGTGCTCTGTAGTGCTGTTCGCGCATCGCTCTGTAATTTTCTGTCATTAACTTCTCGCGCTCAGTCACGTCGTTCTCTTATTGCTGCTCGCCATAGTTTAACAGTGTGGTCTACGTGTGTCGCCGATACTCAAACAGTGGTCTTACAGTCACAGCGAGAATTGTCTAGATATTCTTATTTTGTGGAATAAAAAATTTGCTTCGGGGTGAAATAAAGCTACTCGAAGTAAAATTTATTTCTATGTGTGAACAAACTTTATATCCCACAAATAAATTTCCTCGCAGTATATATGCATCGCACGAGCATAAGAGAGAGAAAAGTATCGAATATGTTAAAAGTATTTGTTTATTTCGGTGAGTGCTAATAGTATCAACACTGTAATAATAAGCCATATGCTCAAAAGAAGAACTTTTCTCTCCACAAGATCTTATCGAATACTTAGAAAATAATCTTGCGATGAAGAAATATAGTAAAATGTCATTTTAGTGACAAGAAGAAAAGCTATTACTCAATTTATTTTCCTTCTTTTGAGCAATGTTATCTTCAACGCAAAGTATATTTTCTTGATAATAATCAAAAAATACACTGATTACAAATTTGAAAAAGGCTCATTATCGCACACTCAAGAGAAGAATTGTCTCTATAAGAATATTATAAAACTTCATGGAACACTCAAAAAATGGTTTTTCAGTTACATAGCAAAAATGAGAAATCAGCTAAGATAGATAAACGCTAAGATAGCGAACAATGCAGATCGCATATGCCTTGTATTGTGTCGATACAGATGGCAATTTATATCTGTATTATTTGCGAAATTTAGCAAGAAAATTTCTCCGTCACGTCTAATTAGATTAAAGTCAGTCACATTTCTTACAAAAATCGACTGCAATAAACAAAAGAGACCAGCGACGAAAAATTGGCATACATTTTAATGTATCTTTAGTATTACTTCTTTTTCTTTTTCTTATTATTCTTCACGTGTTCAACTCTGGCGTTTCAAGTTGTATTTACTGTAAGCTTTGAGAGCTTGTTGAACTCAAAGGCATAAATAAACTCTACTCTAGTCTACCCTCATGATCGTTGCAACAAACATCGGGCCCCTGAAACAATTAGAACGCCGCCGCTTATCGATTCGAGAAGTTTGATTATCCGCGATTGCGTTGCGGAAGCGCGTTACGGAAAAATTCGTTTTTCTCTCTTAAACAATCAGGGGATATCGGGAACAGCGCGCCGTTGTTTACTGATTCGCTGGAGCTTCGTATCATTGTACAACCATCTACATAAGAATATCTGCACCGAGCATATATACTCAATCTCAAAACGGTTAAACGCTTTTTTTGTATAGCTCGAAACGCGGCCGGTGGTCCAGTGAGAGAATGTAACTTCTGGGAATTAATCGAAAACAAGTTGTCTCATCGGACCATCTCGATTGCGCTCCAATCTGCTTCGAACAAAAAATGTTCAAACCTGTACTGAGATGAAGTGTGCTATTCATTTAGGGAGAAGGGGAGATGTATCGATTTACGTATGAAGAATTTTACATCGGGAAAATATCACTTTACTGCTGAGGAAAGATCAGTTTACTCTCCTTCTTTTAAACAATAGTGATTTTCAACAAATAATATTTTCTTGATAATAGCCTTAAAATTTAAGAAAAAAATTATCATTACTCATATATATATTCTCATGTGCTCAAAAGAAGAATTTATTCTGTTTACAAGAATATTATAGAAACGTTTATCGCGCGCGAATAACTAATTGGTTTGACTTTATTTGGGATAGCAAGCCGAATTTTCGTTTTACTTCAATATTCTTGACTGAAATGCTAAACTTGCTAAAATTGGATATAAATTTGATGCACTTAGAATAAACCTACAATAGATTTAACGATATATATAAATTTATGAAGTACTTGAAACACAAATAACATTTCCTTGAATATAGTATGCATCTTTTTGTGTGTACAGTGAGTTGCAAAATGATTAGGTCTGTATTAATAGTCGTTATTTGAAACTTAACTTGATACTTAACATGAGATACTCGGATTTTAATTCAAAGTTAGATCTGAATTTTTCGATTGAATCACGTAACATTATACTTGCAATCGCACAATTCCACTGAAAAACTCACTGATATAACTCTAAATTCAAATATGAGTACTTTAGATAAGTCTCAAGTAACGACTCTTAATAGAGGCCCGAGACACAATGAAGTTGGGAATTTCACAAACTATCAAAATTGTCAGTCATTACTGACAGACTTATCTAGTAATCATATAATTAATTATTATTAATAATATTATTATTTATTATTATTTGGTGTTTTTAATATGCTATTAATTATACATTATTATTGTATAATGAAATATATATTATTAATTATATTATTGTTAATTATGTAATTAATTCCAGTATTATAAATCGGTCGGAAATTATTCAATTTTCATGGTGAACTCCTACCTTGATTGTATCTAGATCATTTTGCAACCTATCGTACGATATTTTGGTCATGTGGCTTAACTCGCCACTGTTCGGCTTTCACACGTCCTTACTTTGTGCACAATATTATTCTCTAAATTTTTCGAAATGGGATCTCACTAAAAAAGAGTGTAAAGTGGCAGTATTTTCTGCCGAAGTGATAGTGAAAGTATTATCACTCGAAATCGTAGGAGCGACTGTTTCACTCCAGCAAATATTTCTTTCGATTAAAGCGACGATGTTCCTGTGACGGTAAAGTACGCAAAATTTACTGTTCAATTTCGAGTGGAAGGATTCATTCAACGAATCAGAGTGGACTCACTCTATACGAATGAGAAATCACTCAAACTCTGATTCGATGTTCACTCCACTTCCCGGGTGAAATTTCACTTTCAGGAATTTAAATTCTCGATAAAAGACTTACGATAAATCGACACAATCCCTCTTCCAAAAATATGCTACTTCAGCCGGTGAATACCTCGCAGTTCCAGCGTGAGCTGGTACACAGCCGAATATATTCAGGAGGCAATCGCGCTGAAAATACCCAAAATCCCAACGTAACTGAAAATACCCAA